TGTGGGTGTAAGTGTAAAAATAAGTATGACTTTGCTTGCCATTTTGCAAGAGGCCAACATAATCAGCACTGACTGAGAACATGCTTTCACTTAGTTTTTTAACATATTACAGTATATTTTTCATACTTGCTGAAGGAGACCTTGCTTATTTCCATTGCTTCACATTAAGCAATTGGACAAAGGAGGCATTTTTATTTCTATGCTGTCGTAAAACTTGCCAGGGAATAATTTTTTTTTTTCTAAGATGTGGTGGTCATTTATACATAGTTTTTCAGAAAAAAAAAAAGTGCTCTAAAAAAGTGTTCTAAGAATTAGAATGCAATTACATGTTTTGTTTGTTAAATTTAAGTTGATTGCACTTAAAATACCTGTAAACATTCTACAGATACAGATGCAGAGTATGCATCCTGAAACATAAGATGTAATTATCAGACTATTTACCAGGCAAGATAAAATATTGTAAGCATAAAATGTGAAAGGTTAATGTAATGAATGTATGGTTACTTTGGAGACAGACTTGCTCTTAAAAACTTAACTATTATCAAACTGGAGAAAAAAAACGGACTTTCTAAGTTAGAAGCAACTTTTCGCATATGGGTACAATTTGATTTTAAACTTACTTTAATCTGGAAGGTTAACGGTAAGTTTTTGCTTAATATTGTCTAAACTCTCCATACTCAGCCTCAAGCACTACTTCAGCTCTTACCTTGCTAGAAGATAACATTTTCTGACTGAATTTCTGTTAGGAAAAGAGAGCGAAAAGACCAGGAAAGACATATTTTCTTGTCAGTCACTAATTAGGTATGTAAAAGAAAAATAAAACGTGACACCTTATTTTAAGCTCTTTACCAAATAGCTTTAAATGTCTGTTTTTTTTAAAGGAGGCAATTTTTAAGCAACTCGTCATAATGAAGAGCTTGTAGAACACATTTTCTATGAGACATCAAACTGCCTTAAACTGATTTGTACTCATATTAAAAATTTGCACAAGTAGATTTTTGTCTCGCTAACAGAAGTCCTAGTAGAAGCAAACAAGAAGTTTACAAATTAAAAAAAGAGTTTATTCAGTTTTGTTTTGGGTCGAGCTAAACCTGTAGGTTGCCTATATGCTTGGAAGTCGAGTAATCTAGTGTATGGCAAACTCCAGCTAACTTGGAATTCAGTTTGTCTTCAATTCAGTCTCCCCTGCATTTGTTACCTTTTTGGACATGACAGCAAAAAAAGGGGGAAGGATTTCTGCTTTTCTGTGTGTTTGAGCTGTTTATGCAGCAGCCAGGCAAAGGGAGACTGGGTGACTAAGTCATTGTTACTAATATTGTAGGTGGCAAATGGTGTCCATGAAGCTACTGCACATGTTCATTTTTTTATACTGTACATCTTTAAAAGCACCTAGGCTAGTGGACAGGCACTTTAATATAAACTTAAAGGAAACATCCTAGCAAAATTAATAAAAGCTCTTGATATGCTACACAGGAATTTGCAATGTTTCAAAATAGTGAAGAATGTTACTTTTCCCGTATTTAGACATGCACTTTTACCTTAGTTTCTTACTTGCATAAAGATAAATGAAACCTCCCCTTATATTCCCTTTTTACTATCAGCAAAATATGGCAGCATATAGCATTTGTTAAGGGCAGAACCAAGATTTTTTACTGATATTCTGGAAGCAGAGGTTGAGGCCGCAATGTTTAGGTTGATCAGATTGACATTGTCACGGCAACTAAAGGTTCCTGAGGCCAGTGGAAAAACTTGCAGTGACTTCAGTTTAAGGTCAATATGCAGGAAAAAAACATTCTTCTGAAAGCTTTAGCTGGAATTTTCACCTTAGTAAATTAGAAATTTGGGAACTAAATACATGTTTGTCTTCATATAGCTTACCTACTGTTGAATTTTCCACTAACTACTTGAAGGAACTGTATTATTGTCAGAGCGTAGTCTAGTGGATATGAAATAGTGGCTATGGCATAAATATGCCAATTTAGTGCAAAATTAATGATAACATGCTATCAATTCTCAAAATAAGTTTTTGGTTTCAAGTGAGCCTGGTTCAAAATCCGTTTTAGTGGATTTATGTTACCAATATATGATTTCAAATTTTATTTGTCAATGCATTAGATACCTAATGGCCTTCTTCATAATCCCCAAAATCCCTTTTGATGCTTTATACTTTTAAAAATTTATAGGCAAAACATGAGCTCTGTATGCATGAACTGATGTGCAGAGGACCTGGAGTCATACACTTGAGTGTCCAGCTTTCCTTTAAGGACTACAGTAAAGCTGACTGAAATGGAAGCCAGTTTTAGGAAGGTATTGCTCTTGTAACAAATTTGTAAAATTACACTTCTAGTCAAAGAATAATGCAGAAGCAATAGGTCTCTTTTGATCTATCTTTTTATATATTAAAAGCTATGTTTAACTAAAAGTATTAAAACTATAGACATTATTAAGTACTGTTACACTTAGTAAATTATGGAGGTGGTTTTCCTTGCCTTTTGGTAGCTAATGCAACCTTTTTTCCTTCTGAAGCTCCAGCAACAAGGAAGCAGCAGCTCTGTGCATTGGGAGCGTGGCGCTCCGAGGTGCACGGGTACCTGAGGTACCTGCAGTAGCCAAGGGCTCCTTGTCTCGTGGTTCCTTCTGCCTCCTGCTAGTGGTAGTGAGATGATTAACTCTGATGGGCACAAACGTTGGAGCTTTCTGTTCTTCACGCGGGGTCTGACCCATTTTCACAAAGTTTCTCATCCTTTAGAGCTTTCTTTGGCAGTGCCTGTAAACATTCTAGACTTAGTATTTTTTGTATGTAGGCTCTTGCTTTGGCCATTTAGTCCAGTGGTTTTGTGAGCAATGATGCCTCTGGAAGAAATTTTAGCTTAAAGGGTTGGTCAGTAATGCAGTAGCTGGTAGCAAGAGGGACCTGCATTACTTTTTTAAAAAGGGGCCCTTCAGGAGAAGATCCCATACTGAGGATGGAGTGTATCATGTTCTTAATAGTAGAACTTAGCATAAAACAAAAAACAAACCCAGCCCCAAACCTTGCCAATTATTTAGAAATATTTCCAAACTACTGATTTAATATCACTTTCTTCTGCTTCAGAATACCCAAGGGAGAGAAAATACGTTTGGATATCTAAAGTTTTGAACACTTTAAAACTGTTTTTCTGTCTTTCCTCGTGTGAGCATTTGCAGGGGGTGGAACAGGAGGAGGCAACAGGCGTTGACATCCTGCCTTTGCAACCCGATCTGTAGGTTGGATCCCTGCTGACTTCCTAGTCCTACACAGGGAGTCAGCTTCGGGACTAGGATTCCTAGTTTTCCAATATAATATTGCGTTTTCAGTTGTGCCAAACAGTATCTTGACTTACATGTATTTCCTTCTGACTACTGAGTATGTTTGGAAGGTGCATTTGCATAGTAGGTTTTTTTTTTAACGATTTTGTATATACCATTTACTATAATTTAAAGAGCAGAATTAATTCTGCAAGATTATTTTAACGTATGATCCTCAGTAATTCTTGCACAAGGAAACCTTATTCATTCAGAATCAATGAGGGATCCTTGTGAGGAACTGCAGGATCAAGCCTTGGTTAGTAGGACTTTCCATATTGAGCTCTCCACGTGCTACACTGCACTAACTTAAAAACAAAACAAATCCTTATAATATATTATAAGGTGTTGATTAGCTTTTTAACTTGTATTAACAGGAAAGTTTGGGGATGAGCTGAAGTGTTTCCACAGCTTGATTCTGTTCTGTAGTTAGAAGACATGACCTTTGTGGAGTTTTTTATTTCATAGATTATTTTATAGAGTTTTGGATGTATTTTTAACATGCACTATTTATAGTACTCTTAATACAGACTTAGTATTTTGAGCGAGAATCTTCCACCAAACATGCAAATATTAGAATGAAGTTGTTGGTAGATTAGTTATCTCTGTTAATACTTAAACCAGCTGCAGAGCAGCTTAACAGGGAGTAATAGGTGACTTTTCACGGATGCAATGTTTAGATAAAGATGATTTTGACATAAAATGTTGGTTGGTGTGTTAACATAAAATTCAGTGCTAGAAGGCACGTTCTAACGGTGTTTTCTAGCACGTGATCTGTTACTGTTTGTTTTATTCCAGAATGTTTTGAGTTTTGCTTGTTTGTTTTTTCTTTTGACGAAGGGAATGTAATTTAGAAGTCTTCACTGGCAAGTTTTCCATTAATTTTAAGCTTCTTTAAGCATCTACAGCAAATGGATGTTCTGCTGCAGGAAAATCTATTCCCTGCCGAAGCATTTTTCATTGAGCAATCTTTTGTGTGTGTGCTTCTAAGTACCTGCTTTGTTAATAATATGTATTTCAATGTAAAGAGCATATTTTGTATGCAAAAATGAAAGTTGTTAAGAGTTGTAAAATAAATTTTATTGTGTAGTGAATGTTTTCAGAAGACAAGTTCTGAAATGACTATATCTATTGTAGTTCATGTTGTGAAGCTTTGCTTTTGTAAGATATGAATAAAATAACACTTTCTAATTAAGGGAACTTCAGCGTGCACTTCTCATCACAGCACTCAAGGCAACATCAGCTTCGGGGTTGTTCCGGGCAGCCGAGTTCATCCTCTGTGCACACAGCGCAGCGGAGCCAAAGGTGAAATTCAGGCTAAGGCTCTTCATGTTCTTTGTAAAGCTGCTGTCAGGGAAACAAGCAGAGAGGCCAAGACCTCTGAAAAAGGGAAATAAACCGAGACTTGAGACGGATTCAGGTGTCTTAAGTGCTGACTTCAGATACTGCAATGAATTGTATAGATGCTACTTTATGCCCCAAATCCTAAACTCCATCTTCGCTCTTGTTTTTATACCTTCTGAGGCACTTAGGAGCCGTACAAGTGCTCAGGAATACAGGAATTTTGACACAGCAGATCCCCATGTAGAAATGATTTTTTCTGAGCAATTCTGCTAGAAGGCATGCTACATTTTTAATAATTTCAATTCTGAAGAAAAAACAAATATCAAATGTCATTATTTTAAAATGTATTTATTGACTATAGTGGTTGCCTCATACTGGAATGAAGAAATTACGCTTGCTACAGGGTCGCTGTTTTGTTGGCAAATAGGATTTTTCAGATGAGTTCCTTGTCGAAGATCTTCTAACAATTCTGCTTTGAGTTTGTTGAGTTCTTCTGCCAGGCTCTTCATCTCACTTGCATGTACATTTTTATCTAAAAGAAATTAAAGCTGTAGTTCTAGATTCATGCATAAAGACAAATTTTACAGACTTGGGTATTTGTAATGTCTGACTGTCTTTGACATGACATTCGATTGCCTCAGTCACACCTGCAGGATGGTGATTCCTTAATGATTCACCCCAAAGAAATTTCGCAGTTCAATCTTAGGTTGCCAGCTAAGCTGCAATTGCCGTGCCCACCTTTTGCATCCTTCATTGCTTGAGAGATGATTCGTCTGCAAGTCTGATCAGCCTGATGGACAGTACTAGCTGCACAGATCGCTCGATCTACTTCCTATCCAAAAGGATGAACAGAAAGGAGGAATAGAGGCAAATGCATTATTTTTTTTTTCAGCTTGTAACCAGGCTAAAAGTAGTAGCCACTTCAAATATAGCTAACTTTTATGTGCAAGCTTTTGCAATCAACTGCAGGAAGCACTTCTCAACTCCTGTCACGGTGGTGACAAGAACATAACTTAAGTTATTCATTCCTTCCCTATCATCTGAAAGAACCATGACCTTAAAGACAAGTTGTTCTACCTTTTGCTCTGTATTTTCTTCATTTTGTTTCACTGGATTTTCCAAAGCATTGGCCAACAAGTCAATTATCTGCAAACTAAGAGAATAAGCGAGAGTAAAACATACATGTAGTGAAACTATTTGGTTAATTCTTCTGGTACTTGTAAAGATATCACAGGAAAAAAACAGGCAAGCTTTCAGGTAAAAGTGTGAGGTAATCAGTGAAGTAATATTTATACTGAAAAATAAATGAAATATAATCATGGTTAAACCCACAGCTGTCATTTTCCTGTATTAAGGCTTCAGACATTTATGTGAATTTTTAGCAGGTGTTTAGAAATAGAGCTAATACACTGAGTTTTCCAAACAACTAAAAAATATACACATTTTTTATGTCTGAACGGTTTTATGTATACCTTCCGGAAATCCCCATACTGAGTATTTTCTACATAACATGTGGATATAGTGAAAAACGTTTTACCTGCCTTTTTATGAAAACAGATCTTATTAAAAAACTTCAGCATCAATACAGTAACATACTTATCCTCCAAAGCACATTCAGAGCTTTTCAGGATGAGGCTGTTCTCTTCCCAAGCATTATTCTCAAGATCTGGCATTTCTATTTTTCTTGCCATTTGATATATTGTCTCATCAGGTAAAGGGTCACTTCTTAGGCGATTTCTTTGCAAGCACTGTTCAAGTGTACACTCTAAAAATATCTGGCAGAAGCTCAATGAATCTAGAAATGCAAACAGACAGTTTGACTTTAAAAGCTGCTTGAGGGATAATCTCTGAGAGCACCAATATGCCTGACAATGGCTGTATATGAACTAGCAATTTCTATGCTAGTTCTGAACCTGTAAGTCTATGCATTTTTACTTTGAAGATCAAAGCAGATGTAACTTCTGATAACAACAGATATGACAAAAGCTTTATATGCGCTAACAATTTCTAGTAACACACTAGCAGTTATCTCTGCTTACTGTATTTTAAGAGGTCTGGCAATTAAAAGTTAGCACATGTTCTAGAAAAGTAATTAGCAAAGGTAGTTGATGTGCCCCATTTGATAGTTATTTTGCTATAAAGCTGAAAACAACTGGACCATCCAAATATTACTTTGGTTGTATGTAAGAGAATGAGGGGTAATTACATTTGCGAGCTAGCTGGTACACTTCATATCTCATACTTTGGTAGTAAAAATTGTCATCCAGAATAAAGAACAGCGGCCTAGAAGCGGGCATGTTTGCCAGGTAGTGGCAATCCCCGGCCTCGGGTGCCTGTGAGGAGAGCAGACCCTGCCCTTGGCAGCAGGCAACGAAGCGCTCCCACGTTGCCTCGGTGCAGTCAGCGGGGGCGCACAAGGGATGGCCGCTAGCGAGAGCCTGCAGGAAGTGCTCGAGGCAGCGCAGCAGCTCCTGCCGGCGGGACTTCCAGCGAGAGGGCTAAGAAAGAGCAGAGCACAGAGCAGAACACGATGGCAACCGCTGCAGACATGGCCGCCCCCTCAGAGGCAGCCTCT